CCTACCCAGGTGAGGTGTCAAGGGAAATACACTTGATTGCACTCGTTGCTGCCCCACACACGATGCATTCTGATTTCAGACAGTTCTTTGTGAATCACTTTAGTTTGGTATCTTTTTCGCTTCTCTTTCTAACGGTATTGTTCTCAAATTCGTTAATTTGTGTAGTTACGATTCAGTTTAATGGGATTAAGTATTTAGCAACTTGACTGACTTAGAGATTACAGGAATTGCTTTAAAAATTCTGAAAGTTAAAAAAGAAATAAAATGGCGTTAAGTTTAGAAGCGGGAGGTCGTTACGTCACAACGTGCTATATTTCAAATTAATATATCGTCGAAGGGATTTAATTTTGTGAGAAAAGAAAAAATACTTACATGAGAAAGCTTAGGCGTAATATGCTTGATCGGATTAATTTAAAACTTAAACATCCTTTAAGTACTACAAACGTGAATTTGTTAATTATGACTGGACATAATTTATTTATAATAATATAAATAATTATTCACATAGAAGCTAATAATTAATTTAAAAAATAACTGTAAATAAACTTACCAGTTATTACGATGCAGATGGTACTAATCTAATAGCATGATGTGTGTATAGTGGTCATGTGTGTATTTACCAATCGCAATTTATTACACTATAACATTTTTTTTTTTACTGACATAAATCGTTTATTTCAATAAAACAATAATAACATATTATAAATGCGAAGGTTTATTTGTTTGTAAGTTTGGATGTTTGTCCGTCAATCACGCTGAAACTATTTAATGGATTTTGATGTTGGTATTCAGGTAGGGTTTTTTTTATTATTTAAGGGGGGAAAATCATCGAATGACTGATGTGGGTCAGACTCTTACTGACTAAAAACCACCCCGTTCCTTCTCCTGCACGTCGAGCCGGAGCCCCGGTTACCCGTTAAGTTCTCCGCGACATTCAGGTAGGGTATGGGCTGACGTAGGTGATAGGATTTTTATCCCAATTAAATGCTCCCATGGGATAAAACAGAAATACGCGGGTAAGGCCGGTAAAAACTAGTATATTATACCTATGAATGAATATCCACATAGAAGCCAAAGATAACCGATTAAGCATAAAATTAACACAATTTCTTTACCTCAACACATCCAATCAACCAAGACATTGCGTCCTACAACTGGAACAGTTAACATAATATACATTGTAGAACTTTCTTTGTTATGTACAAATTACTAATTACACATCCTTGACATCTTACACGCCGTACTGTTGAAACTCATCAATAATAACAGTGTATTACTAACGTACAGTCGGTCGAGCGTAAACCAGACTACGTCAAGAGATTTCATAACAGATTTACAATTAATTGATTGTATTCTGCTGACGACATTTGACAAAAGGCGTGTCTTTGTGCGATAGTCTGTCTTTGGACTGATGGTCATGAGAACGAGCTGACTGACTGTGTTTTGGATGTCCCAAAGGGTGGTCAGTGCAACAGAGTCTGATGATTTGGATTCCATCTTTGAAAAATCCATATAGTAGTACATTAGCTGCTATCAGTAGCTTCGCCCACGTGCCCGTGGTATAAAAACCTAAC